CTGGCAAACCTTGAGGATTTTTCATCTTTTGCTGCAGTGGGGGGCATGGGCTGAACTAGAGTAAATGTTGGATTCTCTATAACTTGAAATCTTTAAATCAAGATTTGAGGACTTTTGTAACTCAGCCAGAGGTGATGGGCCTATTATAGGAGTGGGTGCATGAGGCTCTGTGGCTTGCAATGAGCAGGTCAGACTAGATGATCATGATGTTCCCAGCTGGTCTTAAATTCTATGAGTCAATGCCTTGTATGTCCCTACAGTGCCATGCCCTATGGGCTTCCCAGCAAACACCCTGTGTTGCCTAGTGCCAGGCTTTATATATCCTTATAGCACCATGCCCTGTGGGTGTTACAGTAAGTGCTCTGTGCTGCCCGGTGACAAGCCCTACATGTCCCTATAATGCTGTGCCCCTCCCAGCAGATGCCCTATGCCTCCTTACACCAGGTCCTACCTGTTCCAGGGTGGACTGATTTAAACCAAGATGATTTAAATCACCAAGTAGAAAGCGTCAATTTAAATAAACGTTTCCGTTTGTACTGCAGTTATTTTCTAAAGAAAGGTGCATTCTCTTTAGTTCGTATCACCATCAAACCATGCTGATTTACAACTAGGTCGGGTCTTTGCACTAGATTTGGTACATTATTTTGCCCCTTGAGAAGGTACACTATATACATTTATTTAAGTATTGATATAGCTTAATATTTTCAGATTCTTATTAATTGTACATATTTAGTATGCAAGAAAATAGTGAACGATATCTCTTATTAGATAATTAAGTTTTTGCTCATGATTTATGACAAGCTGCATTAGGATGGTATCTGGAATTTAATTAAACACACAACATATAACATTTATTTTTCTTAAACAAAACAATCAAATAAATTTCTCTCTTAATTTCACATTTACAACTAAGTGATTTATTAAAGGAGCAGCAGGATTAACTGTAGTCATTGAATTAAATTGATTATTTCAGGTCAGCCTCGGAACATTTTCAAATATGCCTAAATGAAAGTGACTGGAGTTTAAGTTCCTACTCGCCTAAGTTTCTTGAAAATGAGACATCAGTTTTGTAAATTACTTAGGCTGTCCTTCAGACTTATAAAACTAGTAGATCACATCCCCTTCCTCCTCATTTTTATTCATAGGCTGGAAGAGAGACAAGTTTTCCAGCTTTTTCAGCTCCCAATCGATTTCTCAACTTTGAATGAATTAGTCCAAATGAAGAAAATATTCTCTCTGTGCCTGCAGAAAAAGCTATTGCTGTCCAAAGCTGATTTAGCACTTCAACTAACTGGTCCCAGGTGCTTAGCCAGTTCAATGGTGTGACTTTCTTTAAAACATCATCAGCAAACAGGTACTGCTTGAGTGGTTCACCTCCAGCCTTGACATTTAGTATAGTTGGAATGACTGAGGGGTGATTATTAGATGTCCATGTCGTAACAGCAGCATGTTCTTCAGCAGTTAGGCATCTACCCTGATACTTTGGGTTGAAAATTGGGTTGGCATGGAAAAGAGGTGGAGTAAGTGCTTGATTCATTTACTTCTTTACTGCCTGCAATTTAACTTTGTTGTTGGGTATACTTTCTTCAGTGTCTCTTGAAGTTCTTTCCAAATTTCAACAGTGTCAGCAACACAGCAGTAATCTTTCTAGAGTTTGCCCAAGGAGGGCATGGATCAGCATTCACATTGCACTCCCCGTCAGTACCTGTCCTGGGCCGGGGAAGCTAATGATCCAACCAGTGGACTGAAATTCGGTGATGAATCCTGGTCATGTGGCATGTTGCACATACACTAAGAAGTTTGTCCAAGGCAATGGAAATAGGTTTCAGGAACTTCAGCATGTCTTCTACATTTCTCTTTAGTCCAATGCTGACTATTTTGTCTCTGATAATCCCATCTATTTTATCACAATTTTCTTCACAAATTTTCATCAGAATAGGCCAGTTCTTAATAAACAGCTCAAAACAGTCAACCACTGAATTCCATCGTACATCTTGGGGGAGAATTAGTTTAGCTCCTCCTGCTCTCTTTGGGGAAGCTGAAGCAAAATGGCTGTTACAGAAGTACTCTGCAATTTCGACACTACTTTCTTTTACTCCTGGAGTTGTACTTAAGTTTTGGCTAGAAGATGCATCAATTGAGCACTGCACCCATATATCTTTTAGGTTCCCTATGTTATCTTTTTCTAGATTTGCTGGTCCTGATTATAAACTCATCCATGGTTTTACTGGACGACGAAGAGTCTTTTTTTTAATACAGGTAATTTACTCTCTGATGTCTGTTTAGTTGCAGCCCTGGTGGTATCAATAGATGACTCTGAAATTGTAGGCACTGCAGATTATGGCAGTTCATATCCCTTTTGCCTGAGTTGGATCCTGAAAAAAATGGTAAAATAAGTCACTCATGTATTGAGTATTACACAGTACACTGCTTTAAAAAAAAAATTGTAAAGGAAAGATTCCTCCTACTGCAGTTGTCTGCACTACTGTTTAAATTATAAAAGTTATTCTACACCAATTTTTATAGGGAAAATAATTAATAAACCATAAGGATTATCTGAATCTATTTAAGTTGTTATATCTAACATACCAAACAGCTTGATTTTTTTAAAATGTTAAAACTTTACTTTTAGACAGTAAATCTTCACCTAGGATGTTTAATTATATTGAGCAATAAAAATCATTTCACAAGGCCAGCAGTGACAGTACAAATGTAATTGACATATCCTTGTCCTACAAACTAACATAGCAGTTATATTTTGAACACAAACATTTTGAATTCATACATAATTCACCCAAAACACAAATGTATAACAATCATTTAATCATTTACTAGCATAGTAAGACATGGTAGGCAATCCATAAGAAGGGTGCAAAAATAAGTTTCCTAACCAGCTGATCCAGATTGTTCAGATATGTCCACATCATCTTCTTCAAAGTCATTGCCTTCTGAGAAACATTTTTCATAAAGTTGTTCTTTCATTCTGACAGCCAGGCCTTGCATCTCTTTGTTGCACTGCTTACATTTGGCATGTGTTCTCTTTTTACCCACAGGTACAGGATTTCTTGAAAGCATTCCCAAATAGGGTTGTGGTTTTTTTTATTACCCTCAGCCATCACAGTTTTTTTCTCTCCAGTTTCCAGGTACTGAAATCAACACTAGAGGCTGCACTCTGCTCCTTCTTCCTTGTTACATTCTCCCCCCTCCCGGCCTCCTCCCCGAAAAACAAAAGAACAAACAACAATCCAAGACGTTTGCTAGCGTAACCGACATACCTTTTGCACTACAGTATTTTATTTGTTTGGAGACTGAGAGGGAGTTGAGAAATTAATGGATTTCTGTTTGTCTCTCTGTGTACACTTGCATGGAAACAGAGCAATGTCATTTGCTTGAAGTGGCCAGACCCATCCAGAAGCAAGGGCTGGTAGTTACTGGGCAGATCAGTGTTTTTTCATGAGCAGGAGAGAAAGTGGGTGAAGTCGTAATATGAGTATTGAGCCAATCAGGAGTCACATTGGGAAAAGCTATAAAACAGGAGTGGGAGAGCATCCAGGTGAGCTGAATGGATGATCTTGATGAGATCATAAAGGTGTCTCCTGTAGTCAGAGGTTAGGTCCAAATGCCTTTTGCTTTCACCCAGTAGCACAGTGACAGGATCAAGCCCTTAATACAGTATGTGACCTATTGTGCCATATTTATAAAGCTTGACCATAAACATTAGATGTTTTGCTCCTGATTCTTTCTTTATACAGAAAAGAAGCTTTAATGGAAAAGTGTTTGATACAGACTCATGGATTCAGCATTTTTTTTAATTTAATGTCCTAAACAATTATAACTGTAGGCCTTAACATATTTTGTATTAAAATCAGATTTCATTTTAATTGGGTTTGTTTTTAAATGGAAAAATATTAGGTAAAAAACAAAATAAAAGTCCAATTTAAATTAAAAAATTGGGTTTTCATGTATCGTTTTTAAATCGATTTTTACCCCTCCTCCATGTCACAGTGGTTTTCAACCTTTTTTTAATTTGCAGGCCCCTTAAAATTTTCAAGAAGAGGTGGGCACCCCATTGGAAATCTTAGACATAGTCTGCGGACCGCCAGGGGTCTGCAGACCACAGGCTGAACCCCACTGCCCCATAGCGTAGTGCCCTGTGGCCGGCCTCTGAGCAGATGCTCGGTGCCGCCTCATGCCAAACCCCGTGTCCCTATAGCACCATTGGACTCCCAGCAAATGGCTTGTGCCACCTGGCGCCAGCAACCATGTGTCCTGTATTGCACCAGGCAGGCCCCATGGAAATCCCAGCAACGTCCCGTGCCGGCTCCCCAGCACCCCCCCGGGCTCCCCATGCCGCGCCCCCCCGCCCCGCCCCCGCGATAGGGGATCCCCCCGTGTCATTCCCAAGCGTGAAAAAACAAAGTCTAGAACTTCGGGCAAGTCCGGTAGCTGTCGGCACTTTCCGTAGAGGGGGGGAGGAGGAGGCGGCAGCCCCCTCCGTCCCGTCTGCCCCGCTCGGTTACATAAGGGAGACGGCTCTTCCCCCCTCCCAGCGCTCGAGCTCTTTCTCTCTGTGTCCTCGCGGAACCCTTCGCTCCCCTCTCTAGCCCCCTCCCCCGCCCGGAACTGTCATGCGGGGGAAGGGAGGGAGGAGGGGCGAGCGCGTGCCCTAGCTGCCTGCCTGCTCCGCCTCCAAAGGGAGTTGTGGCACGTGCTTTTCTGTCGCGCATCCAATATAGCGTAGACGGCTGGCGGGCACGCTCAAGTGTCGCATCCGCTCGTACGTCTTCGAGCCGCTGCTGCTCTCAGGAGGCAGAAGTTCCTAGGCGCGCATGCTCAGCGGTGGAGCGTTCACTGGCTAAATGACTGTGTGGGCCGCACGCGCGCGCGCTCTCTCGTGTCGCCTCTGGCGCGCGCGCTCCGTGGGGCTGGCGCGCGCGCGCTGTTGTTATTGGTGCCGCTGGCGGCGGCTGTTGGAGGGGGAGGGTGGCTCAGTCAGTGAGTTCTTTAAAGATGGCCGGAGCGGCGGCGACCGCGACCCCCGTGTACTGTGTTTGCCGGGAGCCCTACGATGTGAGCCGCTTCATGATCGAGTGCGACATCTGCAAGGACTGGTTCCACGGCAGGTAGGGGCCGGGGAGCCCGCGGGGCGAGGGGAGCCCACGCCGGGGCCGGGGGGGGGGGGACGAGGGGAACAGCCCGGGGGTGGCAATTACCCCGGTAACAACAACCGCCACCAGCGGGAAACAATGGGGGGACGCGGCCCCCCGGCGGGGACCCCTCGCGTCTCTGCGCCCGGACCTCCTGGCAGGGCAGCTGAGAGCTCCCCCGCCCCGCCCCCAGATGTCCTTTTGCCCCACGCCACCGAGCTGCACAACCCGGCTCCCCGCCCTGCGCCCCCGCGGGGAGCCGCGTGCGGGGTCTCCGGCCCGGCACCGAGGGGGTGTCACCCGTTAAAGTAGAGGGAGCAACAGCTGAGGGGCTCTCGGGCCGCCGGAGAGCGGGGGGCAGGAGCTGCCCAGAAGTTGAGCTCGCGGGGGGGAGTGAGTGGGTGCTAAATGTGGGTGTGGGGGGGATTCCCCCCGGCTGCCTCCGTCATGCAGGGCTGGGAGATGCCGGCCGCTCAGCGGGGGAGAGGGGGTGAGAGAGAACATCCTCTTCCCTAGCTGCCTGCCCCGGGCCGTCAGGGCTCCCCGGCGCCGGGAGCTCCCGGCGGCGGCAGTGCCTGGGGTTCATGGCTCACTCTGTGTTTTGGGTCAGTTCCTGCTTTTCCTGGGTTTGACGTTTCTTGTCCGGTCCCAAACGGCTTCCCCGGCCGCGGCCGGCTCGTGTGTGTTTTGTAAACTGTGCGTGAGAGAGGCCCGAAGCAGCGGCAGCCTGGGGTGTGTGTGTGTGTGTGTGGGGGGGTATTCACGGACATTTAAACAAAGAAACAAGTTGGGGGCTCGGCGGCTCAACTGGCTGTTCGGTTCTGACCCCAGCTGCCTGGCTCAGGTTGGGAGTCTGTTATTTGTAGAGACCCAAGCGCTGGGATATTTACGGAGGAGCTGGTTGTGATTGTAGGAAGTACGTTTTGATTGACAGCAGGACATTTAAATACCCCCATTTAACAAAAACAGACTCACGATGTAAAGCAGGCTAGACAGCCAAGTCTCCCTCTGCTGGATGTGGATGGGAAGAATGAGCACATGCTTTTAGTGCTCAGTTCAGTTTTCTAGATTCAAGGTACGCTGGAGGCAGTGACAGGCCCAAAAGTTATTTATCCAGTAAAGTTAAAAAAACAATCAATTATTCTGCTGCATAGTTAGCTCTGAAACTTTTTATCGTGTTTGTTTGTCCATTGCAGGTGTATTTGTATTCTCATATCCCAAGCATGTGGCCCTGTTGTTGTGAGCAGGGAGTGTGCATTGACAATCTGACAGCAGTTCTGGCAACAGTTGCTGGGTGTAGGTTTAGGCCCCACATTTAGGTTTTGTTTGAAAATAAAAAACATTTATTTTGATAACTTTTTTTGCTGTGTGAGGAATATTAATAATTTCAATACTTATTTTTTTTGTTGAGCATGTGTTCAGAGAATTCAGTCAGACTTCATGTATATGAGCCTTTCACACAACAGCAAAGGACAGAAAAAAATGAGAAAATTGGAAAGTATAGTTCTAAAACCACAAAAATTAGCAAGGGGATTTAGAAAAGGTGTAGGGTTTGAAACTACTTTTTTAGTTGATTTAGATTTCAAATTGATAGTGATTACATCTTTATTCTCCTCCACATACAGAATCTGTTTAGATTTGGAATTGCAGCTTTTTGATGTCCTCACAAATTATCTTCCTGCTGTATTATCTGTTAAATAATAATTTATTTGCTCTGCATTTTTCAGAGCACAGTGAGATTGGACCTTGCCTTTACCTACCTTGTTTGAGAAATTTGAATTAAGCTAAACAATGCACCCTGACACACGGCCCTTTGATATTTATTCTTTTTAATGGGGCGGAGGGTTGGGGGGAAGGAATCTTCTGCTTTTTAAAAATTTCTTCTTAAATCGGGATGTACGATGTTTGCCTGATACAGTGAAAGGCAAGCTTTCTTCTCTCTGGACTGATCACATCTCATGAGGCTGTTAGCTAATGAAATATTATGGTAAGATTCTTTTTTTTTTTTAAATTCCACACAAGATTATAGGCCACTGCCATGAAAAAAGTGTTATCCATCATCATGAAGTAGCTGCCTCTTGCTGGTACTAATTGGAACATTGATAGCATATAGCAAATAGCAGAAAATGGTATGCCATCCTTCTAGCGTCACAATTTATTTGGGCAGATGTTAGTGTAATACATGTTTTACCAAAATTAAAACTCAAGTCATTTGCTGTACATAAAGTCATAGACACAAATCTTCACACAATTTAGGGGATAAATTATAGGTTACCTTTCTAATATAGAAGGGCATGCATACAAGGGTATTGAACCATTATATTTCCTTGGTCATTAATACCAGGCACGGTGGTGTGTGCCTGTAATCCCAGCTCCTTGGGAGGCTGAGGCTGGCAGATCACTCAGGGGTTCTGGACTGCGGTGCGCTATGTCGATCGGGTATCCAGTGCCACTGTCAGCCCAGCCAGTGCGTAGCTGAAGGACTGGCTAGAACAGGGGTAGGCAACCTATGGCATGCGTGCCGAAGGCAACACGCGAGCTGATTTTCGGCGGCACTCACACTGGCCACTGCATTTTAATTTAATTTTAAGTGAAGCTTCTTAAGCATTTTAAAAACCTTATTTACTTTACATACAACAATAGTTTAGTTATATATTATAGACTTATAGAAAGAGACCTTCTAAAAATGTTAAAATGTATTGCTGGCACGCGAAACCTTAAATCAGAGTGAATAAATGAAGACTCGGCACACCACTTCTGAAAGGTTGCCGACCCCTGGGCTAGAACAACAGGAATGACGTGTTGTGATCGGCGCGCTCTCTGTGAGGGCTGATGGACTGATGGATCAAGGTGGTCATTAACACTGCACATAAATTATTGGCATTTAAGGGTTAAATGATTCTATTCTAGCATCTTAAGGAAATAAATTTACCATTTCTGAAGCAGCATAATAGAGGTTGTACTATGAGGGAAAGGCTTCTTTGTTGCTAAACACTCAGAATATAACTGATTTTTGAAATTGTTTGAAAATCCTTTTGTGTTCTGCTTATTTTTTTTCAATGTTAATGGTATTGAATAGTGTCTAGTTGATCATACAAAAGGAGATGCCTATTTCTACAAGCTTGGTGCCTTTTACAACTGAATGTGTTTCTTCCTGGGTCTGTTTTAGATTTAGAAGTTTATATCCATATCTGTTTAAAATAATCACAATTTCACAAATGAAGACACATTCTTGGTGATGCTATTTCAAAGTGAGTGAATTATTGAGGGTCATGAAGTGGAAAACTACAGCACCATTTGTGTGCATAATGAACATTACTTTTGGTATAATGTGAAACTTTAAATAATTAAACTTCAGTTTTGGTCATCTCTGAATTCACAGCGTTGATATGCAGTTCTCACCCTCAGAAACTTAATTCCATATTTAATCTAACCTGTTGAAAAGAAGTAACTTCATATCCATTCTGGTGAGAATTGTTACCAGTACAGAATTCTGCCATTTAGTTTTCAGTTGTGCCTAAGGTCTTTTCCAAACGTGTCTCTGTGGTGATAGTTCATTTGAAAAGGTAGAATGTTCATGTATTTTGTAGTTTGAGGACTGGTTAGTAAAAGTGCAGATGCCTCAAGGTCTCTTCTGCCTTTTAGAAGACTTCCTTATATCAATTATCGGGTCTAAGACTAAATCAAGAGATTGCACTTTATTCTAACTTGTAAAAAAAATTATTAATTAGAGTAAGTATAGTCTATAGGAGGGGTATGCAACCAATGGCACGGCATGCGAACTGATTTTCAGTGTCACTCGCACTGCCCAGGTCCTGGCCACCGGTCTGGGGGGCTCTGCATTTTAATTTAATTTTAAAGTAAGCTTCTTAAACATTTTAAAAACCTTATTTACTTTACATACAACAATAGTTTAGTTATATATTATAGACTTATAGAAAGAGACCTTCTAAAAACGTTAAAATGTATTACTGGCACATTTTAACGTTTAAAATGTTTATCAGAGTGAATAAATGAAGACTCGGCACACCACTTCTGAAAGGTTGCCGACCCCTGGTCTATAGAGTCCGAGGATGGTAAATATCTGCTTCCAGACATTAAGATGTTCTCAGAACCATTCATTTAATACAATATCAACCTCAAAACCAGTTTTGTGTGTTCCTGTGGCTGTTAGCATTAACAACATCATATATCCTAGTATCAGAGGGGTAGCCGTGTTAGTGTGGATCTGAAAAAAGCGACAGAGTTCTGTGGCACCTTATAGACTAACAGACATTTTGGAGCATAAGCTTTCGTGGGTGATGCATGCGTCTGATGAAGTGGGTATTCACCCACGAAAGCTTATGCTCCAAAACGTCTGTTAGTCTATAAGGGCCACAGGACTCTTTGTCGCTTTTATCATATATCCTAATTACAGTATTTGGCAGATTGAGGATGAGATTTCTTCATTCCTGGTTAAGCAGAGAGAACGTTATGATGACTTTCTCTTCTGAAATCACTGTTTGGTGTGAAGGGCCAACCCTCAGAATTCAAGGTGGTGGTGGCGGGAGGTGCCTTTTGGAATGCCATTCCTTCTCTAGCCTGTCATGGATGCTTTCAAAACAGGTTGGACACTCATCTGTGTCCATTCTGACAATTTATGGATGCTGACAAAGAGAAAGTTACAAATAAACTTATGAAAGGAGGCGTTGAAACTTTCCTGGCTAATTAAAACTGTGTGGGTGTCTGGTGTGATTACGAGGGCAGGATAAATTAATTAATTTTCCCTTCCAGAAATTACTCCTGTTGCAATGGGAATGTTCCCTTAATTTTTAATTAAAAAATGTACATTGAATCGCTCTAAATTTAGAAATCTATGGCTCTCAGCTAAGTTTTCATAATTCATATTTCCCACATTTGTTGCTGTAGCTAACAAGTGAGTTTTTTTGCTTTTAGGTTTTGACTGACTTGGTTTCTGTGGAAACTGATGTTAGACT